GTTGACTTTTAAACATTTTAAACACGTGGTTAGGTGCAAATTTTAAATCGCCCTGTATTTAACAATTTTTTGTATGTTTTCACCCAAAATGATTTAACAAATAATTAAGTGCCGTTGACATTAGGTACTTACTTACAACAAAAAACAGTGCCCAAAAATTATGTTGCGAGAACAGTGAGTAGCAGAACTTACTGAATGGTTATAAACAGCATAAAAACACGAAATTTTGAAACAGAAAAAAAAAACAATTTTTATATCGACTGCTAAGTGGAAGATCTGCCTATCTCAGCAGCCAGTTCGAAAACGCCTTCTCTCAAAAAACTTTTCAGCAACGCCCTATTTCAGAAACCGGTTCAAAAACTCGCCATCTCAGCTGCCGATTCAAAAACGCCCTATCCCTGCATATTTTTTTATACCGTTTGAAGGTAGATAGGTCGTTTTTGAACCGAATTCTGAGATAGGGCGTTCTTCAACCAAATTGTGGTATAAGGTGTTTTTCAAAAAAATTTTGCAATAGGGCGTTCTTGAAAACTTTTTCGAAATAGAACATTTTCGAACTGGCTGCCGAGATAGGTCGATCTTCCACTCAGCAGTCGATATGTATTATAGCAGACAATGCGAATTCAATTTTTATGCAACTAACTTTTCGAAAATTTTATACAAAAAGATTTACTTCACAACAGCTGATGTATGTAAGTATGTATGTATATATGTACGTTACCGAGGAGAGTAAAATTTAACTCCGATTAGTGAATTTCTTTCCAGATATAATTTTTTTTAGTTCTGAATTGTGATTGATGACTTTAAAATAATAATAAAAAAAAACTGTATAAATTTAGAATGTCGATAATTTCCGATTTTTTTTGCAAGCAGGTACGCATAAAAGTAAAAAAATATCGATTTCTGGTGAAAATTTAAAAATTACTGTTAGAAAAAATACTGGAACACACTGTTTAAAATTGCTTAAAAAATATGATCACTGCTCGCATATTTTGCATAAAAATAAAAATAACTAAGTTTTGCAATGTTTTTTTTTATTTTATAAAAATTTATTTGATATTTCTCGTCTCGAATCGCTTTGTTATCTAAATAAAAAGACTACCAATTTTTTATATACTCAACTCATATTTCTTAATATCGTAATTTTGTTTTTTTTTGTTGTTTTTACTAAACTAAAGACTTTTCATACTGGAATTAAAAATTTACTTAGCATTTGTAATAATATTTATTTTACTTTGCAATATTTATAGCAATAAAGTAGTATCGTGTTATATATGCCGATTCCAATAAATTTAAAATTATACACACTTTCACAACGCCAAAGCGCAATTTGCAAATACTTATACCGTGTTCGCATGAGGCGATTTTCCAGGCAATTTTAGAGGCGATTCGTTGAATCAAAATTTGGCCCCAACTTCATTGGAAGCGATTAGTTGATAGGCTGTTCATACCAGTCGTTCGTTGCTTTCAACTAAAAGTTGTCTGTAAAATAGCTTCGTGCGAACACCGTACTATTTTGCTCCTTCGCCTGGCTGGGGAGACTTTTTCGACAACAATTCACATGTTTTTTGGTTGGCAACAGTTTTGGGTAATTTTTTTGATGATGGTGAAGAGTGCGCTGAGAGAGGGGACGTATGAACATCAGAGTACACATACATAGGCACAAAATGCAGTAGAAAGAAATTTAAAATTAAAATACATTTTTTCTGTTATTAATGATTTCAAATTTCTCAAATTACATTTTAAAATTCATCAAGCAAAGCAAACGCATCCCTACTGCGCCTTTAGTGCCCCACACACTCTCCAAAACTAATTTATCAATTAAACATTTGAACAATTTGGAAGCAGATTCCTGAAGTTTTTGCGGTGCTTGCTGACGGGCTGAGGAGCTTCATGAAACTAATTGATTGTAAATTAAGTGTTTCTTGTGCAGGCCGCTTTAGGCGAGTAATTTCACATTTCTGCATTAAATTTGGCAGCAGCAAAGAACTGGTGAAGCTGCTATGTATGTTTTTTACATAGTATGTATATACTTTATATATACATTATCGTCACCTAAGGGTGAAAAGGTGCCAAGTCCATTTTCTGAAATTGTTCAGGAGAGACAAAATATCGTATTACCTTCCATTCTGCATCAAAAACTGAATTTTGGAAAAAATGGACTTGGCACCTTTTCACCTTTAGGTAGCGATATGTATGTAAGCCTTCGCCAGGCACCAGAAAATTATGGTACACTCTTGATGAACGCATTTTACAAAATTTACCAGAAAAGTAAGCTTTACAGACCTTCCCTTTGTGGTCTTTTTTTTTTGAAGCAAATCATTTGTCGCAAATCTAGAGAAAAATACATTAACGGAGCACGCTTGATTCAACACAAAAAAGAAAAACAGCAGAAAAAAATATACAATCCAACAATTTGTTGATCAATACAGTATTTTTTTCGTCTGTATGCTAGCTCTTTATTTACTCTTTGTTTTGTATTTAATTCTTTATTTATAATTTAAAAAATCTAATATTTATATGTATAAATAAAAAGTAAAAAAAATAAAAAAATAATGCAAATGAGTGGACGTCCTTATCCGAATTCATTTGGTTTGCTCTATAAAAAACACATTTTCTTAATAAGTCCATCAACCTTCTTTTTGATTTATTTCCCCCCAGATGATTATAATTTTTCGCCGAGGCACACTCTACTCTTTTCACGAGTCTTTTTTGCCACATATGGATGAACAGAGGGGTCTCCCAGAATGTAAGGATAAATTTTTTGCGAAATCCAATTTGCCAAATACCCTTTATATATATTTTTTTTGCGCTTGAAAAACGTGGATAACGATAAACTGCGCCGACTAGAAGTTGAAGTTTCGGTTAAGTTGTACTGAGATTAGTACCATACCGTGTAATGTCACTTCTCACACTTAAGAAATTGGATTTAGTATGTACATATGAACGATACCAATTGCTATTTAGAGGCCAATCGTAAAAAATCTGCGTTTTCAGTTGTTCACAGATGGTTATCAAAAGTTCACTTGGTGTTCACAGAAGTCTAGATGATGAGATTTCTCTAGAAAACCTACTCCTACATGTCCTTAAAACCATCCGATCTTTTAACGAAGCCAGACAGCAACTCCAGTCAGATGGTCCATGTATTCGACGAAATTGCTCGCTAGAAAACTGGGACGCGTTCTTCCCAGCGCCAGACTGGGAGTTTGCTGTGCGTACTGTTTGCGTTAGAAGCTTAATGTTCCGCTCCTCGAGCGATCGCCGAAGAGTGAGAGCGATATTTTTCGTCCAGAAGATGTGTTTAGTTCTCTAATGGGATGTTAATATGAATTTCAAAATGCTATTTGGCTATAATAAAAACAGAGTTTGTCTAATTTGTATACACACATGTATTTTTGAAGATTTCAGCCAAGCCTTCCTATCAAACCAATCTCCAATCGAGTTCTAATGTACTTAGTTCTCTAAAATTTGTAACCAGTTAATTAGTTAGAGAATTACACTAGTTATCTAATGTGGTAATCAAAAATTCTCTAACGGTTGTGACCGAGTTTGCTGGAGAAGCACTCAGACAGAGCCCCTGTAATATTGTATGGTGTGGATATTTCAGTACAAGTTCTTAGTCTAAACTAGAACTTGCAAGTCGACACGGGTTATTGTGTAGCTACAGCATTATATATTCTTTATTTAGGCTAAAGTGAATATGGAGGGCATGCGTATCGGATTTCGCAATAAACTACATTTGGGACGAGTTCGCGCAATGCACTTTGACTTCATTTTGTATGCATGTATTTTTATATGTAGTATGTATGTGTGCATATATGGGAGTGTTTAATTTAATTTTTATTTTTTCTTTTTCAATTTGTTCTTCGCCTATGTATGTATTTATGAATATTAATAATCATTTTGTTTTCATTTCATTGAATCTTTTACGAACTCGCCTACTACTTCGCTATACTATATGTCGTACATACCACCGTCATTTTGTTGTTCAATTCATTTAAATTATGTATGTATAATTTTTTTTTCATTTTTAATTCAACTTGTTTTATTCATTTTTCACATTAAATTTATCATATATTTCTATGTTTTATTTTTTAAATTTAATCATTTTTTCATATTGTTTTATTTATGTAACTCCTACTTCTGCAAGCGTAATAAATGTTTAGTTATTAGCTCATTTACATATATTATTTTCATGGTTTCGTTTTTATTTTGCTTTTACCTTGGTTACTTTTGCGTTTATAATGTCAGGAATTTAAAAATTATATAAAAACAAACAGGTATATTCTTTTTTGTTATAATAACATATGCATGTAAGTGTTTGTATGTATAAAAAAAGGAAAAGTGTAAAGAAATCTAGCTATGTTTAGCACTAAAAACGCAGATAGAAACTTTAAATTAATTCATTAAAAATACAATACAACAAATCTAGCCAAGATGATTGCGCCCAACACCATGGCCATGGCAGCACAATGCAAATTTATCTCATCTACACACAAAATTAAAATTTGACAATTCATTTCGCTTTTATTTATGTATGTATGTATAATACGTCTTCCAATCATCAGTTCTGCAGTGTTTTCTGTTGCACAGCACATACATACAAACATAAACATTATATATAGTACATATCTATATATATATATATATATATCGTTTAGTTTAGATTTTAGTTATATGTATTATTTCGATTGAGTTTGCATTATTTTTATTTATTTTTTTTATTTGCTTGGATAATAATTTAAAATTGTGTGAAGTAAATTTGCAATTAAATTAAATTTAATTGTTTGGTTTTTACCTTCACACCAAACGCAGATTTCTTTTGCTTCAGTGATTCGCTTCCTCTACTCGCACGTCTCAACATTTCGCTTAGTTACCGTAAAGCATAGAAATTATTTTAGTTTCCTTTTCGCTTCAAGCAATGTGTTACTGTAGTGGTGTTGTTGTTGTTGTTCGTGTATGTGTGTGTCTACTACAGCTCTCTAGTTTTTGTGTCATTCTTTTTTTTTATATTAATGTTTAATGCATAAGTGATTCAATTGCATATTTAGCTCATCATGCTTATCACTATCATCCATCAGTAAACTAATTTGGACTTATAACTTAGCTTAGACTTCTTTCTTTTACCGCCTCTTCTCATGTTCCTTCCTTCCTTCCACTCTGCGCTGCATAACAAACATTCATACATGTATGTATGTATGTATGTGCATGTATTATGCACTTTTATGCATGTGCTTTTCTTTGTGGGCTTGAATGTATTAATTTTTTTTTCATTTAGTTCGTTTGAAAACCATATTTAAATATATTTAGTATGCAGTGCATGGCTGTTGCCGGTCTCTGCAGAGCCATCCAAAGCCTTCGCCGACTTTTATTACACACCACAGCTAAGTGCAATGCACTTAAAAGCCGAGCACACGCTGAGCACTTAGTTGTGTGCACGCCATAGTGAGTTCCATTGCATTATGTATGAAATCTGCTTTTAGGCGCTTTAGCACGTTGAATGAACTAAGTGGGCTCACGAATCAGCGCATATTGCTGCCGCCAAGTTCCTCTACCTCCTTTGCGATACTCGTCCAGCTTGCACCACCCAGGCTGTCAAACGCACAGCGGGCGGCATACCGCTTGCATCTTTTCTTTCTATCGCTTTGCTTACTTGCTGCCTGCCAGCCTTCATTTCGCTTTTCGCTTGATTTTGTTATTTGCAATATTTTCTTGTATTATTATTATCATAATGAATAAATTAAATTAATAATATTTGCATCTTTGTTTGTGTTGCCATTCGCACTGCCGCTTCTTTGCTCCTCTATATATTTTATATGCATGTATGTTTGTATACATGTAGGGGTGTGTATTTGCTTCATAAATGTTGAAAGAACGCACGTCTTACGTAAATGTTTTCTCTCTTTTGCTTTCATTTTCTTGTTTATTTTTATATTTTCATTGTTTCTTTATTCATTTTTTTTAAACTTCATCTACGTTATGCGCTGTTGTTCTGAGTTGAGTGTTGTTTTTGTTGTCATTTTATCGCTACTTTCCAATTTGTTGGCTGTCGTTGATGCTGCTACCGCTGTGAGGGTGTTTATTAGTGTTGTTGCTGTTGGTGTTACTGTTGCTGGCGTTGTGGTTGTAGCTGTTGCAATTATTGTATTTACAGGCAAACTGATTGAAATCGTTGTGGTTGATGTTGTTGTTGTTGTTGTTGTTGTTAATGCTAACGTCACTACTGCTACTGCTGGTTGTTGGTGTTGCATAAGTGCCGGCGATATTATTGCCATTGTCTGCTGCTGCTGTTGGAGTTGCTGCTGTGTTGTCAGCACTGCTTGCTTTGAGTTTTCGATGTCTTGGCCAGTCATCATCGTCGTCATTGAAGTCATTGTCGTCTCACCAATGCCGCCGCTGGTGGACTGCACATTTACGCAAGCAATTAACAGAATATTTGCGTTTATCGCATGTGTGTGTTGTTGTAGTTGTAGTTGTTGAAACCACCATTCAGCGCGCAGCCGTATGTGAAATGAGAGGGAAATAAGAATAAAATAGTTATATTTCACAGATGAATTTTTAGGCTTCAATGGTAATAATGTATTTAGTTGTTATTAATTTTTACAGCACAGCCAAATATTTACAAACAACTTTTTGCAACGAAACATCTAAATAAAAGCAATTACAACATGAATTCGAAATCAAGCATCGAACTTTTGGCAACACAAAACAATCTAGGCTTCAGAAAGGCTGACTTCTAAAACGTACCACTGCAAAGTATCGATACTTTTACTGCAAAATTTACCTTTTTTTGTGGGCTCATGGGAATAGAACTCGATCAAATTGTACCCCAAAAGCATAATTACACAGGCTAACAAAATTTTAGTTTTTTTGAAGCAGAAACACTAATATCATTTCATTTTGGTGCACCGAATCCGAATCTTGGCGTAGGTTTTGAAGCTATCCTAACCTAAAAGTGCAAAAGCACTGTTTTTCGCCATATTTGAGGTTATGTAGTATGGCCATTTTTTTAACAATACCTCAAATACATATCTATGTCGAATATGTTTTTTGCACACGAAATATGTGTATACATATAAGTGCTTCTGCTTCTTGACCCTTGTAAGTTTGTAAGTTTGGCCGAAAATATTATTACAAACATCGTTCAAATATTTAGGAAACTTGTAAAACTTTTCCTTCGTTATGCTTTCATGAGTGCATTTTCGTTCCATAATTGATAAAATTAATGCATATTTAATATAATTTAATAGAAAATTATCAAATGAAATCCTTCCAATCGAAATTCGCCATTGCACCAAATACAAATGTCAAAAAACCTCAACATTCTTAATAATGCGCGACCTTCTCTTTTACTGCATATCGGCTACCGTGTTTATGCGTTTCAAAATACGATGCCATCTAATAAATTTTGCTGATGCGAACATTTCGACTTTTTGCGTATGCTTTTCAATTGACGTTTTCGAAGCCAGCCAAAGTGTTATTGACACAGCATAACTCCACAGGTAAGCAGGTCTAACACAATCGACTATGTATTTTATTTGCAACTCTAGCAAAAGTTAAAGGGGCATAGTGAATCAGTGAATTGGAAGCAGTGAAGTTTAGTGGACAAGAGCGGCATTGGGTGTGTGCGTGCGTGTGTAGGTGTGTATTCATGAGTGTGTGTGTGTTAAGCGTGACCAAGTGTCTAACAGGAGTGAAAGTTTTTTATTTTATATGTATTAGGTATTTATTATATAAATTTGTATCTTAAAAACGTGTTTCCATAAATAATAAATGCTTTCTTTGATGAGAATATAATGAATCTTATAATGAGAGTATTTGTAGGAGATTATAGAAATTCTTTCATTCTCTATTTAACCTACAGTTTTTTGTAAAGCTAAATATTTATTGAATCTTAAAAAACTCCTGCAATTTTTCTCTGCTGGCCGATGGGAAAAAGCTTTATTATAGAACATTAAGAGAAAATTAGACAATGAAACAGGTGAAAAGCGATCCGTACGATAAGTCGAAAATAAAAATGTCGAAATTTAAATTTTTTTAATGGGCCATTCCATTGTGACTGGCGGGACATTTTAGTCCAGAATGTGATCAATTGTGAATTTTTTAGCTATGTCGTCGGAACTTATACAACAGCGAAAGATATTTTTTAACATAACAGAAATACCAAATGATTTCTTAATATTATTTTTAACCATCATTTGAATGAATGAGGCTGGTGGGACACTGAAAAGAACTCTATTTTACCCTTGTGCACTCAAAGATGAATGTTACAAAACACTTAAATTTTACGAAAGATGTTTTGGTGTTGGAAAATATGAATTATACGCTTTCGTTTTCAATAAAAATGAAGTTTATACAATCTTCCCAGAAATATTAAAAAAATATTTAAAGTTGTGATGGTGGGACATCCCCTTGTGACTGGTTTAAAGTAATTATGCATGAAATAAAAATTTCTATAGACAAAAATTACAACTTCTTTCGATTTCTTTTTTTAATATTTTCCAACAGATTAATAAAATGTAGTCATTAAAAAAGAGGTTACTACCGAAATAGAGATAATTAGGGCATATTTAAATTAATCTCGCTTTCCTCTTTTCAATGGAATGGCCCTAATGTCAAAATCATCAACTCCTCCTGTACTTCAGAATTTAGTCAGAAATAGTCAGAAGTAGTCCGAACTGAAGATATTATAAATGTCAGTCCTAAATTAGACTAAACTGCGTGTCGTGTCGGAAACTATCCAGTGCTGCCAGGTTTTTCCGTTTTAATACACGGGTCGAGTCGAAGTTTTAGGTAATGCCCTGCCAATCTTCAATACGACTGGACTCTCAAAAACGACTTGCACTTGACCCGACACTCGCAATGAGGCCGATTATCGTTTCTTGAAAGCGATTTTAAATTTATTTATTAGAATGTTAAAAGATGTTCAGTGACATCGGAGATATTTTTTATGGTGCATCGAATTTGATGATCTACATAGAAAGCTTTGTATGATTGTTAAGAAATCAGCTTACAAAATTTAACGGCTTTAGCTGTCTAAATTTTGGAGTTATATCACAAAAACTCATACCTTAACAATCATTGGTGGTGAGAGATATACCTTATAGAGAGAAATATCGATCTTGATGAATTTCTCAGTAGAAGGGTTTATATTGATTATAAAAAAGCTCACAAAATTTAAAAGGTTTGGTCGTCTAACCCCTCTATTCAAACAGAGTCACATAACTTAGCTCATCACTGTTGTGATTTCAAGTGCGTCGAGAAATGAGTCACAAAAAATTCGATTTTGAATGCTAGAAGAATACACAAAAATTTAAAAAATTGAATTGTAGTGGCATATTCTTTGCAGCGGCAAGCTTTGAGGCGCGGTAGAAATCACAGCAGTGATGAGCTAAAGTTTGTGACTTTGTTAGAATACGGCTGTAAATGTAGTTGTAATAAAAAAATGTATAACTGAGCAATCAGTTACATAGGAGCGATTAAGTACAGTGAACCGATTTTGTCACATTGTTGTACATACACTGCCGGAACAAAGTATTGGCACAGCAAATTTTTCTCAATATATGCAACAATTTTTATTCTAATATTTTTTTTGCCAACTTTGTATAAAAATATGGTTCATTCAACAACAACAAAAAATAAAAATTTAATTCCTAAACTTTGTGCAAAACTCGCGAAAATTCAGCAAATTTTCAACTTTGTAATCAAATTTTTATTTATATTTAAACTCTAGTAAAAAAATGCAAGTTCGGAGTTAGTCAGAAATCGCGTTGAGAATTTTGTAAGGAAAAGACTGCGTGAAAAAAATTGCCAAAAATCAACGGTAATTCCTAGCTACTCAAAACTTGCACTTTGTTATAATATAATTAATTTGGCTACAAACCTGCATACGCAAAAATGTTGTAAAATTTCATGAAAATTTGCTGAATTTTCGCGAACGAATGAACCATATTTTTATATGAAATGAACGGGAAAATATTAGAATAAAAATTGTTGCATATATTGTGAAAAATTTGCTGTGCCAATACTTTGCTCCGGCAGTGTACATATGCACTTTATTTAACTTAAACAGAAAAAATTATTTACCTTTTTCTTACAAAATGCTTTCAAAATTATTTTCAAATTTATTTGCCAAGTGATAAAAATAACACTTTTACACCGCATTTATTTTGGTGTTAATTTTATGCTAGTTGCGTCCCTTATCTCCAGAAATAGTCAGAAATTGTCCGAAGTAGTCAGATTTAGTCCAAAAAGCGTTTCTTAACTTGAAAATGACAGCAGAAATGAGAGAGCAACACTCAGTGAGAGTGACTCTCACTAACAAAAAAAATTAATAGGCGGAGGACGGAAGGAGGCAAAAATAATTGATATAGTAAGTGTTTATTGTGCTTGTGCTTGTGTGAATGTGTTTTGTACATACACTTATATTCTGATTTGACATTGGTTTTGTTTTTGCCATTATTTGGACTAAAAATTTGGTTTTTTGCGTTCCTATACTTTTTCCTGTTATTCTCTGTTAGTGAGCGCATTTTGCATTACGCTCTTGCATTTTGACACTTTTCAGATTTTAGTCAGAAAAGATAAGGAATGGACCTCACAAGAACGGCAATGGTTTCTCACGCCCACCTGTATCAACATTTTCACTCTCTAAACCTTTTCACTAGGCCTTAGGTACAATGAGGAACTATGCCGAGTACTTGAAAATGTCGTTTTGGTTTTCCAAATAGAGAAATTGTCTAAAATTATGACTCTCCTAAAATCGATATCTAGAAACAGGATAATTTTCTAATCGCATTCTGACGTTTCTAATGTGGACTTCGAAGTGAATGGGTGATAAGGATAATGCGATACACAATGACCTATGTACGGGGGTCGTCCCAAAAGTACCCGGCCTAACCTAGAGATGGCGGTAGTTGTTTGAAAAATATCACTGTGTGCACAATATATAAAGCATATGTTTCAAGTTTGAAGACGCCACGTTGTTTAGTATATGATTGGCAGCCGGCAATAGTGCACGTTTTCAGTGAATTTGTGAAAATGGAGAAAATTTGTCATCGTTATGTGATACAATACTTTTATTCGAAAGGCCTCAGCCCATCCAATATAAAAGCTGAAATAGATTCTACTTTGGACGTTTACAACAGTAAAATATTGGGTAGCAGAGTTTAAACGAGGCCGTACGAGCTGCCAAGACGAGCATCGCAGTGCTCGACCAAATGAGGTGGCGACTCCAGAAATGGTGAAGAATATCCACAAAGCGGTAATAAATGATCGTCGACTGAAAGTGCGCGAGGTAGCAGATATAGTAGGCATTTCAAAAAGTACGGTACATCGCATATTATCTGAAGATTTGTAAACGAGAAAGCTGTGCCCAAGATGGGTGTCGCATTTGCTCACACTCGAC